GGAAATTTGAGGATATTAAGGAATTATTAATTTTGGGCATGATAATGGTATTTTGTTATGATGGACTTAATTATGTTCCCCCCAAATTCATATGTTGAAGCCCCGACTCCCAGTACCTAGAATGTGCCTGTATGGGGCACATTGGGGACTTTAAATGGAAACTTAATGGAAATGGGGACTTTAAAGAGGTAATTAAGATTCAGAGAGGTCATATGGCTGGGCTCTAATCCAGTCTCACTGGTGCCCTTATAAGAAGAGGGGATTTGGACACACAAGAGAGACTCCGGGGATGGGTGCACGCAGAGGAAGGGCCATGCGAGGACTCAGCAAGAAGGCGGCCATCTGCAAGCCCAGGAGAGGCCTCAGGAGAAACCAAACCTGTTGAGGCCTTGATCTTGGACTTCTGGCCTCCGGAATTATGAGAAAATAGATTTCTGTTGTTTAAGCCAGTCTGTGGTATTTTGTTATGGCAGTCCTAACAAACTAATACCTGTGGTCATTTTTAAAAATTATTATTAAAAAAAATACACACTGACGGGCCGGCCTGGTGGCGCAGCGGTTAAGTGCGTGTGCTCTGCTGCGGCAGCCTGGGGTTCGCAGGTTCAGATCCCGGGCGCGTACCGACGCACCGCTTGTCAGGCCATGCTGTGGCGGCGTCCCATATAAAGTGGAGGAAGATGGGCATGGATGTTAGCCCAGGGCCAGTCTTCCTCAGCAAAAAGAGGAGGATTGGCACCAGATGTTAGCTCTGGGCTGATCTTCCTCATGCGCACACACACACACACACACAAATACACACTGAAATATTTACAGATGAGGTAACTTCTCTGGAATTTGCTTCAAAATAACACAGTATGTGTGTTTGGTGGTGGTGGGGGTTGATGGGAGTATAGATGGGGTAGTACAGAGCATGGGTTAATGGATATTATATTTGTATGTGTGTTCGAAATTTTTCATTTTTTTTTAAAGGCACAAACCTCCAAGGACAAAAGATTGTGATAGTGGACACCAGCAAAAACAAAAAATCCAGAGGCTGGAAAATGAGTGGTAAATAACTTAGCAGCTTGCCACATAAAGCGTGGTCTGAGGAGCAGGAGCATAAGCCTTACCTAGGAGCTCGTTACACATACAGGATCTCAGGCACCAGGGGACCTTCTGAATCAACCTGCATTTTTAATAAAATCCTCAGGTGAATCATATATACTAATAATAGACTGAAGAAAGCCAGCAGTGGAGAAAGCACAGTGACAACCTAGCTTATACCTCAGGGCCCTCAAAAGGCTCAGGAACTGTTGGCCCAAGTAACTTTGGAAAGGGATGCCAAGAAGGGGCTAAAAACAGGAGGATTCACCATAAATGAAGTAAACAGTTAGATCACAAATCCCTTCCTGGACTCAGTGCAACAGGTGACTGTCTCACCCCAACTAGAGAACAAGAACGGAGGTCTTCTCCTCTGGCAAGGGTGATTGTCGGAAGAGTTGAAGATAGAGGGCTACCATGCTGAAAACAGGGAGACTGAGTAAAAATACACATATTAAAAGTTGAGACCTCCCCAGCCTTCTTCCCCCCACTTGGATTTCAGGAATATCATTATCACAAAACATGAAGATCCAAAAATCCTTCTCTAGGGATCAGCCTGGGAAGAAGTGTCTAAAGATACTGATGTTAAGTCTTCTCTAAGGAAACATCCTAGATAAAGCCCTCCTCCTAAGAATGACTAGATATCCACAGACCCCCAGACATTCAGAGAAAATCTCTCCTACAAAATGTCAAACTCACAAGCAGAAAAAAAGACAACTTGGAAGAAAGAGACAATGCTAGAAGAAAACTTTATTTAGAAACTCATTGTTTTCAGGGAGAAAATACTGCATGCGTGAAACAAGAAAAGGAGGCTATTTATAACAACAACAATAAGAGAAAACAAGAAAGCACTCTTGGAAAATAAAAATATGATGGTGGAAATGATAAGCTGAACAGAAGAGTTAGAAAATAAGTTCAGGAAATTTCCTAGGAAACGTAGAACAAGAAGATAGAGGAAAGGATAAGAAAACTAGAGAACCAAGCCAGCAGGTGCAAAATCTGAATAACAGGAGCCACAGAAAGTAAGAACAAACCAAAGAAAAGGCTGTAACATTTTCTAGAACTGACAGTTTTTTAAGAATGAAAGAGTCCATCAAGGCCCACCTTGATGGAAGAAAACAGACCTACATCAAGGCACATCGTCAGAAATTTCAAAACAGTGACAACAAAGAGAAGAGATTAGCAAGAGAAAAAACAACAGATTTCATACAAAGAATTAAGAGATGGGATGGCTATCCTGTAAGTTAATGGAAAGAATAAAGCATTTACCCTGTCTTGTATGAGACATACTACTGGGTAACCAAGTAGTAGATGAAGGGAAGTATCTCTCTAAAGAGTGTTCCAAATTATAAATAAAAACAAACCGCAGACTTAGAACTCCACCATTTTGCAACCAGCTCTTCTCCCTCCACCTCGCGCCCACGAGTGAACAGACACAGACATTAAGCACCTGTTGCTATCATCACCACCACAGGAGAGACACCAGACATTCTGGGCCTCCTACAGACCAAACCTGAGTCTGATCAAACCTCTGGATCCAGCTGCCAATTTGCAGGAAAGAAAGAGGACACAAAACCAGGAACAACCCAGATTTCTATCAACAAGTGAATGGATAAACAAAACAGTGGTATATCCATGCAATGGAATGCTACTCAGCAACAGAAAGGAAAGAACTATCAATACGTGCAACAACAGAGAGGAATCTCAAAATAATTACACTGACTGAAGGAGGTCAGGCAAAAAACAAGAACGCATGCTGCATGATTCCATTTATATAAAATCTTAAAAAATACATACTCATCTATATGACAGAAAGCAGATCATCAGTTTCCAAGGAGATAGGGAGGGGCAGGAGGGAGAAATTACAAAGGGCCACAGGGAACTTCTGGGGGTGACAGATGTGTTCACTACCCTGATGGTGGTGGTATTTTCATGGGTGTAGACATATGGCAAAAAATATTCAATTGTACACATTAAATATGTGCATTTTATTATGTGTCAATTATACTTCAATAAAGCTGTTTTTAAAACAGGAAAGAAAGACAGCGAGGGACACCCTGAGCTGCACCATGAGTGTGCAAAGAGCAGAAGTCACACGGGGACAAACTCCAAAGGGCAAATGGTCCAGTTCTTCAACAGATGAACAAGGGGAGCAAAGGAATGGAGAAGTCATCTATAGAGTAAAAAAAGAGACTTAAAAGACATCTCAAATAATTTTTTTAAAGGGTAAGACTAAAGTCTCCAGGGATATACATTTGGGTGATAAAATGTGTGGGTGATATTTTTTAGAAATGCAAGAAAGTTATTACTCTATGAGTCAAGTTATTTGGGGGCGAGGGGCTGGGATAGGAGAAGTCACCCAGAAGGGGCTTACGGCACAGAATTCTAGTTCTTTATCTGAGTGGTAGTTACAATGGTGTTTGCCCTATGATCATTCATTAAGCTATACATTTTTGTGTATGGCTTTCTGTATCTGTATTTTATTTTTCAATAAAAAGATAAAGAAAATAAAAAAGAATCAGGATGAGGTCAGGCTCTTTAGCAACACTGGAAGCCAGAGATACCTTTGACTTTAAGGGATTGATAAATTCAACCAAATAAAAACAACACTTCCTGGCATAAAAACCATAGGCAAAATCAAAAGAAAACAACAAACTGGGAAAAAACATTACAAAATATTAATCTCCCTAATTTGTAAAGAACTGTTGGAAATCAAACAGGAAAAAGATCAAAAGCCCAATAGTGAAATAATAAAATGAGCAAAGGATTTGAGGAGACAATTCACAAAAAAAGGATAAACGGGCTTTAAACATAGGAAAAGATGGTCAGCATCACTTACAAAAAATAATGTTTGCCTCTTAAAGGCTTATGCACCCCTATGTTCATCGCAGCATTATTCACTATAGCCAAGACATGGAAGCAAACCAAATGTCCCTCGACTGATGACTGGATAAAGAAGATGTGGTATATATATACCATGGAATACTACTCGGCCATAAAAAAAGACAAAATCGTCCCATTTGCAACAACATGGATGGACCTGGAGGGTATTATGTTAAGCGAAATAAGCCAGAAAGAGAAAGACAAACACCGCATGATTTCACTCATATGTGGAAGATAAACCAACACATGGACAGATAGAACTGTTCGGTGGTTACCATGGGCAAGGGGGGTGGAGGGCTGGGCACAAGGGGTGGAGGGATGTACTTATATGGTGACTGACAAACAATAATGTACAACAAAAATTTCACAATAAAAAAAAGAGAACAAAATTAAAAACAAAATAATGTTTGCCTCTGAAAACATAGGCAAACCCACAATTCATGAGCAGAGTACATCTGTGAGGTTGCAGGAGTGTAACTGGTTTAACTCCTGTGACAAGCCATCTGGCAATGTCTACCAAAATTACAGACAGACAAACATGTCCTTTGAGCCAACAAGTCCGCTCCTAAGTAATCCTACAGATTTACTTCCATGCATTAAAATGAAGTGTTTATAGATTATTCACGGAAGCACTGTTTATAATAACAAAACAATGGACACCATCTAAATGTCCACCACTAAGGAAACCGTTAAATAAATTATGACACAATCTACCTAATGCAAGACTGTGCAGCTGTCTTAAAAACGACACATCTCCGTGATGCACTGCTAAGGAGAAAAACAAAGAACAGTACATAGAACAGACCACCATTTGTGTAAAAGGGGGGAGGAAAAAGAATACATAGTCAAATATATTCCACATATGCATAAAGAAACTCAGGAAGGATGCTTAAGAAGTTAGAAACAATGGTGACATGGGTGGGAACTTGGCAGATGGGGTCATGGATGGGATGGAGACTTCAATATATACTTTTTTCCTACTATTAAAATTCTCCTAACCATGTGAATGTATTAAATATTCGAAAAATTAAATACACTGAATAAGGAAAAACCAAATAAGTTATCTACAAATTGGTACAACTCTCAATTATACAAATGATTTAAGTATCCAGTTTACTTTAAAAAGCTTTTAAGTCTTTAATGAAAAAAGTTAATTTCCAATGTAGAATTCTATACAAGCTAAATGGTCAATTAAATGTAGATATAAAACAAAGCCATTTTTAGGTATGTGAAGTCTCAAAAATGTTTGCATCACATGAAGTTCTTAGGAAGGCATACTCCACCACAGTGAGGGCATAAACTAAGAGAAAGACACAGGATCCGGGGAGCAGGGGATGCGTTGGAATAGAAGAAGAAGGATCCCGAGGCGGGAGAAGAAAATCTACACACCACATGTACAGCACACAACCCAAGTGAGAGTAGGGCATATGGCCCTGCGAGAAACTTCCACAAGATGGAAATCAAATACCTTTGAATGTACTTAAAGAGATTTATAGAAGAGGGAAGAGTTTGTGGTTGAATTAATGATAAGAATAGAGAAAGAAGAAAAAAGACCACTCAAAGGAAAACAAACTTGTTCAGGAAAGGAAACGTAATTGTTATATATGACATTGATTAGCTGTGGATAGTTTTTGCAGAGTCATAATAATATTAACACTGAATACTGATCTAACCACATCATAACATAGTTATATCGATAGCATGGGGTCTAGGGATTGTTCATGGGTAGTGATGGTGATAGTGGGGCCTGCCAGCAAGGCGGAAGAGGGCTAAATAATCATCTTCCCTTTAGGAAGTCAACAGGTAATGCTTAAAGTGAAAACCGTAACTTAAGCATGTTACCGGAGGTACGAAAGTAAATACCATCAGTCAGAGGAGTTGAAGTTGCCTGTGGGGAGAGCAGGCAGAGAAAAGGCTCTTTTTTTCCTCCTGGAATAAGCCTTATGACCCAATCAGATAGTCCTTTGAATAATGTACCTTTGTTACTTGGGTAAAAATTAAAGTTATATTTAAAAAAGAAAACAAATTTCATTTTAAAATTAAAGACTGTACTTCACCTACTTTAGGGTGAACTGTTCTCCAACATTTTTCCTATCTTTTCTGTCAGGACGCTGATGGCATCTTACGATCACTGTTAGGCGGATGGTGGCTGTGAGGTAGCTGCCTCTGCCCATGCAGGAGTGAGCCCAGCGGTTATTCCTGGTGCTGCGACTGGGCGGACGCAATCAATCACTCCGTGTTTTGGTCAACCACAATTTAAAGACTATTTGAGAACTCCTGGTGGGTGTTTGAAATCTCTGTTGGCACCTTCTGGTAAGATCAGGAAGCATCAGAATTTGCAGCTTGGAAGAAAATCCCAGACATAATAATGGAACACTCTTTTTTTTAAAAAAACCAGCTTTATTAGAATATAATTCACGTCATACAATTCATCCATTTAAAGTGTAAAATTCAAAGGGAGTGGAGCAGTTCTAAATGCCGTACCATACAGAGTGTTTGATGGCACAGCGGGTGGTACTGTGGGGAAAAACATAGGTACTGAAGACTAAATTGAAATGCAATTCAGAAAAGCTGGACATTTAATGTGAAGAAGTTTAGGACTACCATAACCAATTTATTTTGCTTATATCTTCCTAATTATGCGTATACAAAAAAGATATGCCAAAAAAACTATGACGAAATAAGTCTAAAGGAGCTTTTCCAGTAAGTATAGATAACTCTAAGTCAAAAAACATAGCATCATAGTTTGGCAGGGTATTTTTCTTTTTAGTGGTACATAAAATAATGATGTCTTACAATTGATGGCATGTTAGACTGGATAAAATATGGTAATAAAACTCCTAAAATAAAAAATATTTTTTAAATCAAAAAAGAAAACATACAGAGATATTATATAATTATTTAAAATGTCTTTGAGGACTATTGAATGAAATGGAGAATTGTCAATAATATAATATGGAGCAAAAAGAAGAAATATAAAAAACCATGACTGGTGCAATTCAATATTGTTTAAATATATGTAGACTGGATGGAAATATACCAAAGTTTAATAATCGTTATCCTAGGTAGTGTGGTCTTATAAGGCTTCATTTTATCTCTATATTTTCCTACTTTTCCTACCATGACTTTTGATTTGATGATTGGACAGGTAACACCTTGAGACTATGCAGCTCCATCTTCCTAAATAAATACAATACCCTTATTTTACCCCTGAAATTAAATAGTGACATAATTATATCTAATAAACAGTTTATATTAAAAATTCTGCAACTGTCCCAATATTATCCTTTACAGCTTTTTAAAAAAATCTAAGATCCAATCAAGGATAAAACATTGCATTTAGTTGTCACGTCATTTTAGTCTCTCTTAATTTAGAATAGTTCCCCTGCTATTTTTTCTTTTTGATCCTTCATGCCACTGACATTTTTGAAGACTCTAGGCCAACTGTCTTGTAGAATATTGCACAATCTGGATTTGTCTCATTTTCCTCAGTATTAGATAAGCACTTTTTGAAAGAAAACTATTTAGATTATGTATCCCATTATGACAATTTGTCTCACTACTGGTCATGTGAAGTTAGATCAGTTGATTAGGGAGGTGTCTGCCATATTCCTCTACTGTAGGGGTATTTTCCCTGTTGTAGTCAGTAAGTAACCTGCAGGGTAACACCTTGAGACTATGCAGTTCCACAACAAAGTTTCCCCTAATAGTTTTAGCATCCATTTATCATCCTTGCCTGAATCAATTACCATAATGGGAATTGCAGAATAGTGATTTTTCTAATTCTATGATTCATTCTGCTTTTATGAGCTCGCAATTTTTTCCCCTGGAAATATAATATGAATTCATGGATTTGTTTTTATTCTGCCATTGTTATTCTTTTGAATGCCTAAATCTTCCCAAATTCATCCTGTCAGAGTTCCTTCAAGTTGGCTCCTGTGTCCTCTTGACACGTCCCAGTCTCTAAGCACTTGTTTGCTTTCTGGCATCTTGTACTTCTGTTGACCCAGAGTCATTTTTTCAAAGAAGCCTAGTTCCTTTCAGTAAAAAATGGTACTTAGAAAGCAAAACCTGGGCACTAGGTGTGCACATTGCTACTGGGGTGTCATTGTGTCTAGGCCCTTCTAATGGACAAGGCTAGAAAAAAAAATTTTTTTTTAAATCAAGAGTTCATACTGATAACCTCAAATTCAAGGCTAACATCACAGTATTATTCCTCACCTTATCTCATTCTATATATATATTTTGGGGGGTGAGGAAGATTGGCCCTGAGCCAACATTTATGCCAATCTTCATCTATTTTGTATGTGGGTAGCTGCCACAGCATGGCTTGATGAGTGGTGTAAGTCTGTGCCTGGGATCCAAACCTGTGAACCTGGGCCGCCAAAGCAGAGCACATGACCTTAACCACTATGCCACCAGGCCAGCCCCTCATTTTATATTTTTCTCTCCCTTCTCCCACAGTGAGAACCTGATTCCCGACTACATTAGTATATTGATTTATCTAACTACAATACATACTAAATAGTTTTCCAAGTTACTACACTGATACCATTGCCAACAATTCATCACATAAATAAAGTGAACATTTCTTTCCCACTCTTTTTGTCCCTAGGCTATATCCCACTACAGGTGTAAAGTCTGAGCATTCTGTTAAAAAGTTAACTTTTTTCCTTTGTGCTTATGTAATCAATTTGATATACCGTTTTTTATTATTAGTTGCTCTTTGTATACTCAATTACAGGATTTGCTTTCTTTTCATTTAATTTTATATAATTGAATATGTAAAATATTTATATGGTTCAAAGTCAAAACTATATAAAAAGGGATAGTCAGCGGGCCGGCCCAGTGATGTAGTGGTTAAGTTCAGGTGCTCTGCTTTGGCAGCCCGGGGTTTGCCGGTTCGGATCCTAGGTGCAGATCTACTCACCGTTCATCCAGCCATGCTGACGTGGCATCCCACATAGAGGAACTAGAAGGACCTACAGCTAGGATATACAACTATGTACTGGGGCTTTGGGGAGAAAAAAGAAAAAGAGGAAGATTGGCAACAGGTGTTAGCTCAGGGCCAATCTTCCTCAAAAAAAAAAAATCAAAAGCACTTTAAAAAAAAAAAAAAAGGGATACTCAGAAAAGTCCCATTTCCATCCTTTTCCCTTCCACCCATATTCACCCACCCCTTATCATTTGTTTCTGGTTTATAGTTCCTAAGCACCTTTCTGCAAAAATGATTTGTGGAGGTGTTTCCTCTGGAATAATTACCAGAAGTGAAACTGCTAGGTCAGAGTAAATGCTTATATACTTTTTTAGATACTGCCAAATTCTCCTCCACAGGGACTGCTGACTTTTATTCTTGAAGGATGGTTTAACTAGTATTAAATTCTAAGTTGAAAATATTACTCTCTTGTGTTCTAAATTCTATTGTTGATGAGAAATCTGTTGTCAGCTTAACTGTTGTTTCTTAGAAGTATGGCAGAAACAGTTAACGGTTCTTAAAATTTGTGTCCCCTTCTTTTTCTGAAGCACACTGCTGACCTATACTTATATTTCCCAGTCTCCCTTGCAGTTAGATACGGCCACATGACTGATTTCTAGCCAATGGGATGTGAGCAGAAGTGACATAAACCACGTCTGGGCTGAGCTCATTCCCCCTTCCTGTGGGCAACAGAGCAACTCTGAGGGACTCATGGTGAAGGTGGCAGAGCCACCGCCAGCTGGGTCCCTGAGCACGCAGAGCCACCCAATGGACTTGAAATACTCACCAGGACTGTAACACGAGAGAAATAAACTTGTACTGGATTTGAGCCGTTACATTTTTGGTCATTTTTACAGCACTTCAGCCCGTTCTACTTAATACAAAATACTTTTAACTGGTTCTTTTCCATATCCCTCCCCTCTTGCTGCATATGTACCTGCTTCTATTTCAAAATTTATCCACTGTAAGCCTCCATTATATCTTTTGCCTGCTCTCAGCCTCATGTAAGTATTCTTCACCAGAGCACCAACTTATGAAATGTGGTATTCTGCACATACTCGTATTACAGTTAT